CTCCCGGCGCTTGCGGAGGGCTAGTAGTACCACGCGTACGAGTGGCACTTTTCGGTCTACTTGAGAGATCAGCCGTCTATGGGTCCATAGGCAAAAAAGACAGACCACAGTCTTTTACGCATGATAATAAGTTGGGAACCCTTAAGAAGAAGGCAGTTTGTCACGTTCCCCGTGTATTAAAGGCCTTCGACACAGACTTCCAGCCACGGAGCATACAAGACAGGTATCCACCACCCTCCTTCGGACCACCCCCTATCTCATCCACCCATTTTCCCTAAGGACGATTTCCCACGGTATGGAATTGCGTCTTACTGAGTACAGAGGTTCGAAGTACAAAAAGGGTTGTTTCCACTCCCAGCATAGAAAAAGCCATCGCCACTTGGAACAATCTTTCACTTTCACCTTCGGAGCGTCAGGCGCGCTGGTGGTTGGGGATCCTTTGGGATTATACATATTGGGAAATTGGTCCGCGGATCGTTTTGACACACTAGATTCCAGTACTTTTTACAGCACTTATCATTATTGATCTCGCAGCGGACTACAATTTGCAAATTAGTCGGAAGGTCTGGAGACTAAGGATATAAAGGCAGTGGTGACTGATTGTTTTTGTCGAGACATTCTTGTGCAGAGACTGCGGCGAAGACGCTGAGCAGGGTGAGAGCGAGTGAGAGCTTCATAGTTTTTGGTGGGCTGAGTTTTTTGATGAGAGACTCACAGATCGATGGCAGTCTGCGTGTATAGAGGAGCATGGTATATATACTATTTACTCTACTTCAAGTCGGGGCTGAACACATAGCCGAAAATGATCGAAATAGGTTCTGTTCAATATAATTTACTTCGTCGCCGGCATAATCATTGGAACTTTTCTGGGTAGCTTCATTGGGGTACAGGGAAATTTCCCGAATATTATATCATTATTATGCCTGGGACGAAGTAAATTTAGAATCTGGAAAGCTCCGGTCTCCCCCCCACCTCGTAAGTGGGTGGATAGAACTTGGAATAGGGGAGTGGTTATTTATATCTGTATATATAATTAAGTAAGTTTACAGACGTCCTTCGTGGTACTTTAGCGCAGCAGTAATACAATTATCATTCCAATTCATCTATTCTCTGGTAACCTACGCAGGGACGATACATCTTAGGGTCCATTTGGCTCGGCCTGATTCGGAATAGGTAAGGATCTGGATTCTACTATACAAATTAGAGTTTTGTACTCGATACGAATTGTAACTCGTATCGATCGTAGATTCCACGTGGCTCGCATATCGATTATAAGACAAGTGCCACTCCGAATAAGTGATCTGGTCTTTTCGGAATGGATAGTATAAAAATAAAATACGGCCTAAACCCTTATTATAGTCCTTATTCGCTTATTCCACCTACTGTTAATACTACTACTTATCCTATATATAAGTATATACTCAAATATTAGGGTTAGTAAATTATAAATTCTATCCTTTAGGACCTTTAGGGCATGTTTGGCTCGCCCAATTTAGAGATTTGTACCAGGTATAAAAGTCTTAGATTTACACGGGCTAGAGGACCCCAAGGACTTATGTAAAAGTTTCCTGATTTATATACAAATTAAACTATTATAACGAAATAAATATACTACTATTTGGCTGGTGCAAAGGTTTTTTCTGTTTTATTATATATTCGTCGATTTTTATGTATAGGATAGAAAGATTTACACGGAGATTTATATATATCTCAAAACTAAAGGGTTAAGAGTTTAATTCTTTTATAAAGATTTTTAGGTAGTGTAAATCTAAAAATATTTGTAATTAGATTTATAACGAATTTATAATTAGTATAAAAGAAAAGTTTACGGCTATCTAAACAAGCGTACATATCCTAAATATACACGCATATCTTATATAAAAACATATACATACAAATTTATCTATATGGTGCAAACCTCTAAATTGGGCGAGCTAAACATGCCCTTAGACGGTATGTTTATGATAGGAAAGCAAAAACTGTAGCTCTTATAGCTATTGTATATATTATAAGTAGTAATGTTAGCATTATATCTAAACGGGATTCAAATCAAATATAAACCTACCTTATTCGAAATTATAATCGATAAGCGGATAGAGTTTTTGTGAGTTTTGTGATTTCAGGGGTACGCTACCGAAAAACCTGATTCCACTTTTTTGAGCCAAATGCACCCTTAGCAACTCTTCAGAAACAAGTTAAACAATTCTTATGATTTTCAGTCGAGTTAGTCAGTCAAAAAAGGTCAATTCAATCAGTCACAAAGTCGGTTTTTGGGAAGTTCGGCCTCTCGGTACAATTCTTAAGTCAAGGTTTCGACCTCTACAATCGTTAGTTGCATTCTATGTTAGAAGGAAGGAGCAGTAGGCAGTAAGCCCCAGTAGTAGTTAATCCGTCGGGGTTGAAATCCTTATATACTAGGTTTCCGAGTAGACGCCTCACAAAGGTCCGTTTAAGTACTTGTAAGAAGTAAGTTAGGTCTAGGATTGTTAGGCAAGATACCGTCATAGTACTATAGCAGTGATAGAGGAATGGTAGCCAAACGAGGCTGGCGGGAGCATTACCTTATCTAGAGGGAGTAGTTATATATACAATTAAGTAAGTTTACAGACGTCCTTCGGGACACTTTAGCGCAGCAGCAATATAAGCATCATTCTAATTCATCTATTCTCTTCGTATACAAAATAAGGAGCGAAATGGTAAAGGGTCTGGGCAGCCAAGATTGCCCTCCCTTCCCCCCCTTCCCTCTTGTCAATTTCTGATATACCTCCTTATCCGCTACTTTCCAGCAAAATAATCCATTATCCTCTCCTTTGCCAGGCCATTGAAATGTCTCTCCGGCTCCTTTCCTAGGGCTCGGATAAGGAAAGGACGGGAGATACCAAACACTGAACCTAACTGAGCGATGCTGACGCAGCCCCGTTTTGTTGGCAATAATAAAGGAACTGTTTTATGATACTATTAGTTTCCTATTATTTATATCATAAGGGCAGAAAATTTACACCGTGTTGGGATCAACCTTCTTTTCAACAGTCTTGCACAAATCTTTCTCTATATGGCAATCGCTGCAGCCAGCATACTTGTAGGCCCCACATGCTAATGTAGTCGCTGTGCCGTCGGAAGCACCCTATAAACTGCATTATGAAATCAGTATTTATTCTAGAAACTATAGATATAAACCAAACCATAGTGATTAATACCTAAAGTTGTCTAAGCAGAAGTATAGAGTAGGACTTACATTTTTAATTTTACATAATCCCGACTTGAAAAGCTGACCTTGACTATGAACACAGATTGCCAGAGTTGCGAGAACAAGGAGATTTCGGAACTACATATTATAAGAATTGGTATAAGATCTCTTAATATGATAATGGAGAGTAGACTGAGTAGTTGTATAAGGATGTATAATTAAAGTCTTCGAGGAAGAGTGTCAGAAATGGTACGGTTGTAGACGAAAGGGGTGCTGGGCATAGTGCTACATCGATGTTATATAGACGGTTAGCTGTCCGATGATATGTACTCCCCCCCTAATTAGAGGTTACTTCTGACAGCTTCATGTATTGAATTTTGTATGGCAAACTACCGTACGCCCGCAAAATAATGCAAAATAATAAAGTTCACGATTAACATTTACTTCGTCCCCAGGCGAAATAAATGTAGGGTTTTCAGGGGTTTCAACCCTGTTCTCCACTAAAACCACCCTAGCAAACCTACATTTATTTCGCCTGGGACGAAGTAAATAGGGGGGGGGAGAGTACGTATACGAGCAACAGAAACAAACTTCGTCCCAAGTAAAGGGGCCGGACAGCCAAAATGCCCCCCCCTTCTTACGATCGCTTTGGCCGGGCATGAATTGAAAAATCTAATTGGCTTGGAGGGCTATGTTATGGGGTTTTATCCTTTTTGTATCACCTCGTCTCTAAGGGTGAGAAATAACCTGCCGGTTTGTGGCACAGACCCACCCCACCTAATACCATGTCTAAATCATGACTTTTCATCATACTTCGTCCTAGGCATAATAATTGTAACTTTTACGGGGGTTTTACCCTGTTCTCTACTAAAGCCACCCTAGCAAACCTACAATAATTACTCCTGTGACGAAGTAACACGTACAAATTAAATAGTAGAATGATATCTAATAATGTGTCATTTGTCCATCGCGGTCCCTACATTTTTGAAATCTATCTGGGTACTGGTGGGTAGGTTTTATATACATTTTGAATAGTAAAAAGTGGTAGTGTTAGGTGGTGTAGCCTGTGCCTTAAATCGGCAGGTTATTTCTCACCCTTAGAGCTCGTTTACAGGGGGGCACGCGAGCTGTCCGGTCCCTGTTACAAGGTACCGTAGGAAATCGTGCATAACAAAAATGGCTGGATACTATAGGGGGGTGGCGGGTGCCTGTTCTGCATGCTCCGAGCCATTCAGAGTCTGCCCGAGTCTGCGTGGATTTGGTCTGGGCTCATCGATTTTTTTACAGATTTAAAGGTAAAGGTACTCTTAGACCGCAGTCATAGGTCAGAATTCCCAAAATGGGGTGGATTGTCCGATGCGACCGCTCCCTTTACTCTGTTACTTCGAAGTAGTACGAGATACACCACTAAACCCTATCCCTGGATCTTTCTCCCAAGATCAGGAGAGAGAAAGACAATAGATCGCGCACGAATACACGACAACGCTAGGTATAAGTCTAGCACGGTGCAATTGCCAATCGAAGATTCTCAGCCAAAGGGAGAAAAGAAAGGAAGTGAATAAATGCTGGTGAATGGAGAGCTTGAAGTCTTTTACACTTGAATGTACCTCCGTAGAAGGCGTGCACGTGCTAGGGTTAGCGAATTAAGCGAGTCACAGTCAGGGACTACAGTAATAGAAGAAATAACATTTACACGTTACCTTGAGAGGAAGTTTCACTTGCTTCATATTAAGGATCTCACAATTCGACATCAGAAAATCAGTGTGTTAACAGTTTAATCAATTCCAATTCACCGCTATGTAATTTATCGCCTCTACCTGTATTCCGGCCACCCGCCTTTTGGTTTTGGGACATGGCTAAGGTAACCGAAACGATCTGTATATTCACGATCTTGCCAGGGCTCAGGGTAGGCATCTTGAGCATAGGTTCGCCGTGGTTGATCCGGATGATGTATCGTCCAAAGGTAATTCATGTAGGCGTTCTCATGATCCTTGTTCTGAAACTTCGGTAGGTGTGGCATCTTCGCGGCTTCTTCCCGTGCCCAATCCCTTCGACTTTCTTTCAAGGCGAATTCTGTATTTTGTCTTGCCCTGCCCTCTGCCATGATCTTTTCGTAATTCTCCACGGATCTGTACATCTCTATCGTTCTCTCTTTGGATTCCTTTTACCAGGCGAGCTCCTCGGCCTCCTGGGCGAGCTTTTCGGCGGCGAGTTTTTCGGCGAGTTCTCTTGGATGCTGAACTTTCTACGTTTGATTTTACTACCATTGTCGATTATGGTTTCCACTGTCGATTTCATTTCGTCTTGTCGGAAAAGTATAATGTCAAAATCAAACCTGTACCCCTTGTAGTTTGGTTGTCTGTGTAGCAGAGGTACACTTGACTATACGAGAGAAAACGCTAAACTGTTGGTGTATTTTTGGCTGCAGCGGCATTTGATAATTTCAAAGATTTGTTGACCAAGTGAAGATTTGCGTACGAATACGTGGATCGCATGTAATATATACGTGCCTTACACTACTCCTCGCCGTTTCAGGAGCTTACGAGAAAGATGTCTGCGTCAAGTGAAATCTCAGTGATCACGGGTTCTTTGGGAAGCAGTTGCAATTGGACCCCTGTATTGTGTTTGTGGTTAAAGAAGTGGCATGTTTGGTTGATATTAGCCAGGAAAGAGAGTCTGAGGCAATACTATATAGATTATGAGATATGAGATCTTATAGCGATCCTTCACTTTCATGAATAAAATTCTTTTTGAAGACGTTAAAGAAAGTAAATCGACTTCGAACGCTAGTTCTACCCTTCTGTTCATTCTCGATTCTCAAATTTGAAAGCGCCGACAAGTTAGAATTAGAGTAAATATAGCTGATAGTCATGTTCATTTCCCAAGAAACCCCCTATCCCATGACTAATACTCCCACCTTTTCCTTTTACCCCCCCTCTCTCTTTAACCCACAATTCAATCAAAACCATTCCACACCTCAAATAGTCACTCTCTAAAACAATTTCAACCTTGATCACCTATAACAATATCTCAACTCCCACATATACTCCTCTCCAGCCTACAATTTCCCACCAGTAATACAAAACCAGCCACTCTACCTTCACATAGACTAATACAAAACAAGCCACTCTACCTTCACATAGACTAATACACAACTCCTGGCCCCTATATGAGCCAGTTTCTTCGCCGGGAACCTCGCCCCAATTTTCCACCACATAGCACTTTTCCTCACGATTATCACTCATACTATCAGAACATAATCTCCAAGTGAACCCTAGAAATCTCGTTTTTATGAAACATAAAAATGAGATACGACCAGTGAACAGGCGAACCAATCAATCAATCCAATGAATCAACATTGTTACAGAAAAAGAAGACAGATAGCACCACGCAAGTATCGAAACTATATTTTGAATAGGATGAAAAGAGACACCACCAAACAGGGTGTAATAATTAAATCGCCCACAGAGAATACCTGAATCTATTTTATAAAATAATAGATCATTACACCATAACATCTTACTATCTATTATATCCTAAATCACTCTATATCTCGATAGTATTACTAGTTTTATATCTAAGACTTAAGAGTGGCTATCGATATAAATCATATATAGTAGACCTTTCTTATATGTATAGTGTTACCTGTATTACAGATAATCAAGCTACTATCTAGTAGGTAGACCCTATCTAGAACAAAGTAGGAGACTATAAATTATCCTCCTACTTTCACTCTTACGCGAAAGTATTTATATCAAAGCTTCCGAGATTCTAATAATTTATAGACTATATAGTAATCTCCCTTAACAAATATATAATTTATACACCTTTCTAATCATAGAATCGATATCTCTATCTAATTCACAGATTCCTATTCTCCGATTCGTCTCAGCTAACCTTATTATTTAGAAAATATTAAGTTAAATATTTGAGTAGATATATAGTATCTCTATACATTAAATTCCATTCTCTTATCATTTCCTATACAATTTCTCAAAATTAAGAAATCAGAGACGTAAACAGAACTATCGCTACTTAATTCCTCAAAATTCCAAGACCTAATAATAAACACATCTACAAATTCTATCATTACCCAACTCACAGTACATGTCTTACATTCCCGAACTGCGAAGTAATAGCACTTTACCTTCGGGGATACAAGCCTCCATACTATTAAGCACGGCGCGGCCCGTACCGAAAGTCTCATGTTGTTACTCAATGCCTGTTTACAGCGAGTAAGGGTATAGACTTAAGAACGTAGATCTGGCAATCACCAGAGGAAACATGCCATCCATCACTACCCCCAAGACCAAGCCAAACAAAACCTAATCAGCCTCCAAGGTTCTTTTTTCCGAGAAGTTACGTCTGTAGTAGGGTGATACAATTCATTCAACACCTGGTCCTGGAGAAAATCGTTGAATCGAGAACACCCCGAATATGACATATTCGAACCCCCCCCCCACAAAGTTTACGAAAATCCTCCGTGTGTATAGCCACACCACACCACGCTAACCACAGAAGGCAGTGCGTCCGGTGCCAAAGCAGCCTTAGAGAAAGCTAACTGGACTTCGGATATCCTTCCTTTGCCGTAGTACCGAATCCAAGAACGTCCCTAGAGACGCCAGTCGTATTAGCCCACTGATACGAGTCGTATCACTCACCATTGGAGTTCTTCCTCCAATGATCCAATCCACCAACCCACGAGGATGAAACATAAACTCCATCCGCGCGATCGAGGACGCGGGGAATGCTGTTGTATAGACAGGCATAACTATAGCACAATCCCTCCCCCCTGGTTGTGCAACACACAGCACGCAACAGATTCACAACCGTGCCAGCACTATTGCACGTCCCTGAACAAGTAGACTTGCTCCACTGAGGAGAACGAAACCCTACCGTATCTGGTGGAAGAGGATCCGGAACCTTCATAGCCTTGACAACACACCACGGACCACGATGAGAGGCACGATGATGAGGATATGCAAACTAGCAAATGGAGGAGAGTGCCGAGGACGGGAAAATCCATTTAGACCAAATCGAGCTCTTGATATATATATCGATTGGACCTTACTTCCCCATGATTGTAGCCTCGGTTTGAAGTAGGTTGCATTGCATATTTAACAGTTGTACTAGACACTCTTCTTCAACCGGAGAAAGTAAAGCAATGGTTGTTGGAGATAACATGGCGAAAGCTCGAGCGTAGATTTGAATGGTTTGAGCTTCGCAATTGCAAGTCAACCAATTATAGCACCATTTCCCTTCCAACGCGCAATGATTGATGAATTAAACGCGACCAACTACAAGAAACGTGATTTGAAGCAGAAAAACGCGTGAGTATGGTAGCAGAGAACTTATCACCGCTTTTTAATCCTCACAGTCAAGGGTCTGGATGCGTAATAGCCAGTCTGCAGTTCGATTTAGCGTGTTGAAAAGCTCATGCAGGTCCTGACCCTTGATACAGTGGGGGACTTGGCTGCATACCGATTCAAAATCCATGCAATCTTAAGCGAGAGTTCAATTAGAAGAAAACACAGTGGCCAGGTTAGGCACTATTGTGACAACACTTCACGGCTAATGCCTACAGAAATGCTGAATCAATTGAGCGAGCCTTGGGTTCGGAGAAACCCAACGATCTGATGTCTCCTTGAACCAACCTAAATGTCCAGAAAAAATCAAGTAAACAAAAGAAATTCCAAGTTTTTGTCAAAGCTCGCCCCCGCACTTGTTCTTTTGTGCAAGGACAGATATTTGGGATCCACTTGAGATACACTTGCAGCTCGGTCTAGCCAAATAGGTGTCTTGTCAAAATCGGGAACCAAGAGGCAGGACTGCTTCGTACTCGTCTGAATCGTTATGACAGCCACTTTCGCGCATAACTCCGCACGTAGTGCTGCATAAAATAAGAAAACGGATTGCAGAAGCTTTATGCAGCGTATTCCGTCAATCCGAGGAAAATGGACGCGTAAGAAAAGAAAGTATGATTCTGTTGTTGAGAGAGTGGTGCTAAATTGCAGAACACCTAGACAACCCACTTGGAATTTTTGCAATAGGTGGAAAGTTCCGAGCTTTCATCACTCCGGAGTAGTTGACAAGACTACTCGATGTGATTTTTCGGGGCTTTTTGCTGTTGCTAGAACCAATTCTCTCACCGTTAGACCCAGTATTATGACCTGGCTCGCAGGATACATAACGACTAGAGAATCGATAAAAGTAGAAAGACTGTATCCCGGAGGCAAAACTAGACGAGAACTTGATAATAACCTTGCAACCAATTGTAACAATGGTGGAGCAGGTGGATTTCTGAAGCTGCGGGCGTGTTCTGTTGATACAATTTGTGTTGCCAGATGCTAATGACAACTCTTGACAGAACTGATGGTCTGGACTGCTCTGGCTGGGAATTGAAACTCAAATGTCAGAGATCTTTTCACTTGACCGTTCGGATTGTGCGTAGAATCGGGGATTTTGCACGTATCTGGTGGAGACTCGTCGAATCCAACGTCGATGAACAGAGAAGGCTACCAGTGTGACTGGACGACGGAGAAAAGTCATTGAATGAGACGCATTGCATGCCATCGCATGTGGGTACAGCTGAGATCGACTTCCAGGAGGTTGAGTAGTGGCGTTGGGGCTAGATCTGGAGCCCAATCTGGACAATGATACGGCATTGGTGGTTGTTGTTCGCTACACGATGCAATCCTCTCCCAGCGCTGAAGCCACTGGAGTCCGCTGGAACTATCGTACCCGTAGCAGAAAAACACTAAAAAGCGTACCGGCGCTGCAGGTAGAGTGCCGCGGTGCAGACCGCCGGCGTGAACAATGGACATCCAACGAGAACTTTGGCGCCTTATCGTCACATCATCGTATCGTCGCATCGTTGTACCGTTGCAGCGCATCGCATCGCATTCCAGACGCTGAGCCTGATCGCGAGTCTCCTTACTGAGATGGCGCGTCGAATTGCTGCCATCGCTCAGGTCATGAGAGGCGGTCAGCAGGCGGTGGTGGCTGGTGATGTGGGTAGGCAGGCATCGAGCATGCGCCAACGGTGCTGGAAGAGTGGTGTTGTTGTTATTCGTTGGGCCCCGAGTTTGAGGTTCCTGCTTGGTTTGTAGCTAGCGTGCTAGCGTGCTAGCGCAGCCGTGGTACTAGCCTCAAGAGTCACGCTTAAGTAGCGTCTATTAGCGCCGGAACCCCGCCAATGGCACCCCTGGCATGCTGCCCGCGTGGCGCTAGTGCAAGCTAGTGCAAGCTAGTGCCCCTCAGTGCCACGCTTCCCTGAAAATTACCCGAATACCCCTGGACTGGTCAACACCGTGACAGCTGTCTAGCGAATCAATGCCCCCAAGCATGGCCCTCTCGATGCCCTCAAATGTATAAGGCTGCGTCAGACCACCCAACGTTGAACACCCATATTGCCGTCACAATACCTTCATTTCGTCTCTCTTCGACACCCTCATTTCCACCACATCCATTACACCAAACCGACCATGTCTTTCACCAATTTCTGACCAACTTTGCCCCCCGCACCCCCAAAAGTCTCCGTGACAACTTCATCCTCAGCAAACTAGGATTGCCGCTGTACACACACCAGCCACTCTCCTTGAAGAAATGGAAATAGCCTCCTCAAACGAACACTCAGTGCTTCATACCGTCGTTTCCAATAGAATGCAAAAAGGACAGAGCATGGCCAGAAACACCTCAACTCACTACATCACACATACAAACGACCATTTACAATTACCTCAAGAATTTCACGACCCTGTGCAACTCGAGTTTTGGGAGCACAACATCATTCCCCCGGATTATCACCTGGACCCTGACAAACTCCGTCTAATCGAACTTATATACCCTTGCCCCTCAAACCTTCAACTCAAAATAACCCTGTTTAACAACCCCTTTTGAATACTCATAACTCTAAGACATTTCCCCCCCAATAAAAGCCATGACGGTCCCACGAAAAAGGCTGGTGCTGTGCTGTGATGGGACATGGATGGATAGGTAAAGCCCTTTCTCACAATACCCCTTTTCTATTTTTAACACAATTATCCAGTGGCGATGCATACACCAAACCTTCCGTAAACAACCCTCAAGCAAAACTTCAAACTCCATCGAATGTCACGCGAATTTGCCGAGCTCTCAGCAAAGTTGGTCGGGATGGTGTTAACCAGATCATCTATTACCATGCCGGAGTAGGCACTTCTCCCGGAGTGATGAGCTCCTTGACCGGTGCTCTGGGCAAAGGCATTTCAGAGGTGAGTTTCAATTCCGACATAAATATGTCTTAGCTTACCTAAATTCGATAGCACGTTCGAGAAGCCTACAGCTTTATCGCCACAAATTATACATCAGGTGACGAGATTATCCTGGTGGGATTTAGTCGAGGTGCTTTCACTGCTAGAAGTGTAGCAGGAATGATTGAAAACATCGGACTGCTTACACGCGCTGGCATGGACTCCTTCTACGCCATTTTCAAGGATCAGGAGAATTTCCGCACACCCGAATATGAGGATATGTTTCCCAACATCCCATTCTCAAATAAACCCAAGGGCCCACATAAGGCTCGCGAATACAAGAACCGGCTTGAAGATGTAAGTTGCGGTTCGCCATTCTCATGAAGAATTAATCTAACCAAATTCAGTTGGGCTTAACCAGAGTTTATGATGCCAATGACTTCAGAATTTGCGTAACTGCAATCGCGGTATGGGACACCGTTGGTTCTCTTGGAAGTAAGTGATCCGCCACTTCGAACCCCTACTTTTCACTGACCAGCTCCAGTTCCAAGTGTGCCCATTCTTTCCGTAGTGGGCTCATCCCAATCCACACATGAATACAAATTTTACAACACCAACCTCAACGGGACAGTCAAACACGCCTTCCAAGCCCTAGCACTTGACGAACAGAGAAAACCATTTCGACCTGCAGTCTGGGAAAGGAAGAGCATGGATAAAACTGACCGATGTGATCTAAGACAAGTCTGGTTTCCGGGAGCTCACTCCAATATTGGAGGAGGTTATGACGACCAGGGAATCGCAAACATATCACTTGCATGGTATGTGAATGAATTCATGCACCACCAAGTAAACAATACTGACTACAACAGGATGATGGACCAGCTTGCCTCTATAGGCGTGACATTTCTCGACGAGTATATTGGAATAATATTTAAGGAGAATGTTGCCTATTACGAAAAAGCTGCTCAGAAACCACCCTCTTTATTCTCCGGTGGTCATAGAAAACCATGGGCTATAAAATCGATCTACGAAAAACACAAGCCTATTCGCCCTTGGGGACTGGGAGAGATCTATAACTCCACTTCCGGCATTTACTCACTTGCCGGTAAACAATATCGCACGCCAGGCTTCAACGTACGATCTGATCCAGATAGTGGCCAGCCAACAAACTCGCTTCTAGAAAACACCAATGAGCGAATTCACAGTAGTGTCCGCATTCGTCTTGAACTCGAAGGTCTTGGTCCAGACGACAATGGGCTCTACAAGTGCCCGGCGTTGTTAGACGAAAGTATATGGCGTCTCCGACACGTTCGTATGAGAGTAAATGATCCCATCCCACACGGTTCGACTTGGGGAGCTGGTACACCACCTTCTAGATCACCCGAGACTGATCTTCGTTGGATCTGGGAGTACTGTGGTCCAGAGGAATTCGCCCCAAAGCAGCGGTACATGATCGAAGAAAAACTTGGGCCGTATGAGAGACTATTGCTTTCGATGAATAAATGTAAGAGAACACATTCCACGATTTCATATCAATCTCAGAAAGCTAATTCATTCTCCCCAGTACGTCCTACGAGTAGCAGCAAACGCCGCAAGAAGCGAAGGAAGGACGACTCAACCTCGACCACAATACAAAGTGGCACCACAACTACACAAGTCGAATCCGACAACAGCCGCGATAGCTACGACCGGGGCACACGTGTCACCGCGCCCCTAAGCAGGGTAAGCACCAGCGGTGGATACCACGTCCACTATGACGAAGAATCACTTCTTGAAGGTCCCAAAGCCATGGAAAGAAGACGGTCAATACTGATCGGGGGCGACAAAGACAGGAGGAGTTCGTACGTGAGTGTCAGGGAAAAAAGAAATTCCTACGTGAATGACAGGGAAAATGTCATGAGCATCATAAGCGAGAAGCACAGAGCTGGCAGCACGCGTAGCGGACATAGCAGGAGTAGCAGGAGTAGCAGGAAGAGAAGTTCCTCATATCTCGGAAGTCAGGTGAAGGATAAGAGGCTCTCGTACGTGAGCGACAAGGCGAGGCGCATTTCTTATGTTGATATCGACGAGAGTCGGAACTCTTACTTCGACGATAAAAGGATTTCTTACATTGACGATAAGAGGAGCTCTTACAGCGACGAGAAAGGTAATTCATGGAGTGACAAGGAGAGGGAGAGAGAAAGAAACAGAAGGAGAGCGGAGTATCTCGGTCTCGAAGAGAAGGAAAAGCGTCGGAGTCCTCGTTCCGAGAGAAGTACTCCTCTGCTAAAGTACAGCGAGTATCACAAGGAGAAGTCGGAGAGGAGGTCCAACAAGAGACATTGACGAGACATTAACGGTTTTAATGAGGCATAGAATTTGGATGGTTCTTGTATAACGATAGAATTATTGCATGACTAGGGTTTTTTGGTATGGAACTGCGGATGGTTCCATGCTCGGAGGCATATATAAAAGGGGAAGGAAAGCATGGGCTTGCGGGAAAAATGGGGTCGGGCATAGACCGGGGGTCGGCTCTGGCGGCGTTTTCTTTTGATTTCTTTTTCTTTTCTTTTCCTTCGTTCTTTTTTTGCATATATCTTGTTTTGTAATTCGTGTGTTCGTTTTAAAGAGTTTATATATAGAGAGAGAGAAGGAGGGGGAGGGGTTTCCGCTATGGGGCCAGACAGAGGGAATTCAAAAAGAGAGTTGAGATATATTTTATATATATAATAGAATACTTTTATTTCTTGAGTTTATGAGAAGATCTAGAATGAACACTTTTTGGTCTAAAAATATTTTAGTTATGGTACTTAAATGAGGAGGGGGAGGAGGGGGAGGAGGAAAAAGGAGCTACTTGATTGGAAGTTCGCGAGGACTTGTAGGATCGAATTCCTCGTTTGAGCTCCTAAGCGATAAGTTATCCTTGACTACCATCTTTCCATCTCATTTTCGCTAGATATTCTTTACTCCCCCTTCCACACACTCTAATAGTATCCAGGGTGATAACCACGGGACTTCCCATCGTCATCTGCGTACTTCTGTCCAATGCTCTGCAATCCCAGAAGATCATTAAAGTGAATCGACATCACCTCGTCAAAGTCATTGTTGATCGAATATTCTCCTAACGTAGACGAAGAGTTGTCAGTTGGTGCAGATGCCGGAGGGGAGTATACTTCCAAGAGTCTTTCCTCTTCATCGGGGAACAATTCAATCTGGGGTTTTGGTTCAGAAGGGCAGTATTGCACAGCAAAGAAACAATCCTCAGATGGATAAATATATTCTTGTCTTGCCCAGTGCGCCTCAGAGGGATCACACGAGGACGCCGACTCGGCATATCCCGCCTGTCCACCTCCATAGCCATAAAGACCCATCGCGCCCAAACAACCCATACCTCGATCCTGTCCCAAAAAAGGAACACACAGCACAGGAACCCCCTCAATTCAATTCTCAATCCTCCTCAAATCACCACCCATCCCTGACGAACCAGCAGGAACCTCAGAACCCTCAAGTCGCCGGACCACATCCCCGTATCTCAGGAGATACGCGGTATCCCCCCGACACCACGCACACATACCCTCCTGCCACAAACCCCCCGCCGCCTGACCAGCTACCAGAAGCTTACTATCCTCGCACTGTGAGATTCCGCGCGTGTAACAGCTGGTGCTGTGGGTGATGACTTCCATGACGCACGTACAACCTCCGAACCTCATTTGGCGAACTACGCACCCCTCTTCTAGTGCAAGGACGGAGGGGAGAGTTGCGTGTTCGTCACGGTTCGCTCTGGCTAGTTTTTTGTCTCTCATCTCGTCATGTATATTCATCTCTGGAGCTGGTTCGAGGTCAAGACTCGCAATGAGAGTCGAGGCGTGCTCGCTTAACCAACTCATGTTATTGGTGCAGATGTGACATGCTTCCGGGCTGAAGGTCGAGGATTGCGAGGTCTCCGGGGATGCGTAGATCCTTGGACAGGCTTTTGTGGTGTCTGTATGTGTACAGACTCGAGGGTCGTGGGTTGCTACGGTGAGGGTGTGGCCGCAGGTGGGGAAGTAGAGCCGGTGGATTCTACATTTTGTACTATCCGTATTAGAAGATGGATGTAGAAAGGTCGCAGCTTCTGGGTTGAGCATGAAATCTTGGGATATGATTGACATTCTGTTAGTATTAGAACAATTTCCTTTTTGTGTTTAAGCTTGATAGAAAATATTCAGGTAGCGAGCGGCTGCTACAATAGAAGAGGGACTTTGGTGCGAGGACGTATTTACATCTCCACACCAAGCATTGTTCCGGCGAGCCTGGAGGAAACAAAGGGGATTTTTGCTTGCTTTGTACCTATTCATGGGGAAACAAAATATTGTTCATAGAGAAGTAAGGTTTCGGATCTGGGGATTTTGGGGGGTTGATTGAGAGCGAGCTATGGATTAAGCGAGGGGCTTTGTTTAAGACACTTTGGTAGCTGTGAATGAGATTGTGTTTTGATCTGCACCAAATGTATGAACGAGGTTTTTGGTGGGTCCTTTGTTCATAAAATCTGAGATTCAACTCAACTAAGCACAATAAGTATGGGAACGACACGCCTTGCACCAGAAACTATGAAGGGAGTCTGATGCTAGTGCGGCAATAAGACCACAACTCGATGCGCTCAATATTTTGATGATATAGCGACTCGGATCTGTCTCTCGGGGCTTCGCTTTTTCGCGAAGCTAGAATCCCTTTGTTCATACGAGACTGCAAGGCGATCAACCTTTGTTTCAAAGGAAATGCCTCGCCTGGAGTCAATATCGACTTCTCATCGTAAGGTTGCTGAGAGACGCCTCAAGTAATTATCAGAGATAGAAACAGCGAGCCACAAATTTTGCCTCTGTAATTCACGTTGAGATCGTCCAAGCAGAGTTAATTACAACACCAGTATATCAAGACTTTGAAATACCTGCGAAGCTTTCACTCATGGAATGCTCAAAATACAGGACAAAGAAGAATCCACAAAGAATTGTCGTGTTCTTCCAAAACGCCTCAAGAACAGAAACAAATGCACTTTATAAAATCCCCGACGAATTGCAAAACGTCCAGCTCTCAGACATCGCAACACAACTCCGATAGAACTATCCAGAAAACCCCACCAACAACACCAAACCACACAAATATCCACAAGAAAGTTCTTTCCAAGAAAAAACTACAGCAATCATGAGTGCCAGCAGACAACACAGAACCTCCAACACGAACGTCACCACAGCCGAACGCATCAGCGAACTCACCAATGAGGACGTCCGAAATCTAACGCTCCTCCTCCACATCAAGCGAGGCGCCACTGCCGACGAAGCATGGTTCAAGGAGCGGACAAGAGTCATGAGTAAGTTACCATCAAAGCTTTTGAAGCCAACAAGCCCCTTCTCTCTTCTCGGTCTCAAGCTGCACGTTGGTGGCGAACAAGCAACGCTGTGCAAGTGTCACAAGGCCCTCAACCCTCGTTTAATCCGCTGCATCTTCATTCAACTCAGGAAGGAAGTCACGGTGCGAAACGAGAGACTTGCAAGGTGGCCTTGTCCCCAGACTGTCGAGTTATGGCTTAGACGAGTCCATAAGATCAACAGTCTCTGGTTGTCTCCTGAAATGTATCGCACGGCTTTCCAGGTAGCACCTTGGGAAGAGCGGTACGACCCGGTAGTAAGCGAATGCGAGGCCTGTATCCTTTCACGCATCGGTGGTGATGTCCAGGCTCTTTTAGATCTGGAAATTTCCGCTTGGAGTCGTCGAAAGACTGGCACTCATGACCCGAGACTTCTGCGGTTTACGGATGCCTGGCTTGACTGGTTCAAGACCAAGGAAGATGTACGGGAGAAAAACAAAGACTTTGGACGAGAGGTAAGATCCGTACGTAAGCTTTGTTTGGAAGAGCGAAGACAACAACGCAAAGAGCGAGAGGGCAACAGTGGAAAGAAGGGAAAAGGCAAAGCTCCTGTGCCAAGGTCAGAGGGTCCTAGACCAAGTTCTGCAAGCAGTTTGCAACGAGATTACTCACAAGCACAATTTGTAGCCCACGTAGCTCCTCGGGCTCGGGGCCCGTTTGTAAATGCCGTTCCTCCTAAGGATCCATTTGCACATGTTTTCCCGAACCCGTTCGAACATGCCGATTCAAGAGGCGATGAAGACGACGACGATGAGGATGCTGATAATGAGCGCGATATCGTTGACTTTTACACAAAACGTTTGTCACAAGCAGTAGGCTCAGGACAAAATCTACGTGCAGATGGTATGCACAGTGCCTTCCGATCCATCGCCTCAGACGAGACCAGGAACCCATACACTTACCAGCCCATGAAGCGAAGCAACACCACAGCTGGTAAGAGTCATCACTCCGGTCAAGCAGCCGAACGTGGACATTTGGGTAGGAGTTCATCTGTACAAGGTAACTCATCCTCTTTGCGTCCCCCTACCCAACGTAAACACTCCACAACTTACTCCTCAAGTGTTTACAGCCAAGGAACAACCCACGCGGAGAGGGAAGGAGCGTACGATACCAACGCACCTTACGTCCCACCCCTCCGCGTTCCCGCAAAAAAGCCAACACGCACCGCAGGACCGCCTCCAACATCGTCCAAAGCCAACAAGTTCTTCAAGCGAACCGAACCCGATGCTGAAGCCGCGTGGAACCACCACCTCGACAAGCTCGACACGTCGGACAGTTGGACGGATGATACGGTTCGGAGCGAAGAAACAATAACCCCAGAGTCCTCGGCTCGTCGAGCCGCGAGGGCGGCACGAACCTCGGAGGATCACGCGCAGGCTTACCGAGCGTTGGTAGGTCAAGGTAATTCGCCTACTGTTCGTCCGGGAAGTAGCTCGGGTCGTTCGAGAAGAAGTGGTTCGAGACGTAGAGATGTGCCGTCTGATAGGATGTCGCAGGATACACAAGGTACTAACTGGGGTAACTTCTACAAGTAAGCGAGACTTACTCTTAAGATACTTGCTTAAGAAGTAAAGGTTACCTTACCAGGCGGAACTTTGTACAGTATCTACTCATCGCCTTTTTCGATTCACATTTCTTTTGTCGAACCAAAAAAAATAGAATAACCGAAAACCAAAAGAAAATATAGGTGGGACTTTGTACCATACAAAAGTAGACTGCATAACAGATAGACTGTACAATACAAAATAGACTGTACAACAGAAATCCAAATCCAATTATCATTAACCCAAACTCCAAAAGAATATTGCTCTATTGCCCTACAGAATGTGACGAAAATCAAATAACTAACTGACTAGTTTGAACTGCAACATGTATAGATGAACTTACCCTAACCTTCAAAACAGCAAGATCCTCGGTGCCCCCCTCCTCACCCCAAAATCCATTTCCCCACTCAGAAACACCCGTATATATGGAGAAGGAAGCTCAAACTTACTTACCTAGAAGAAGACGCGACTCAAGCCTTCTCACTTCCATCATCCTCTCAAACCCCCTTCCATTCCCACCAAACATCCCGATTCCAGAACTCAATCCGGCTAAGCAAGTAGTCTTACATATCTCAACAAGACGAGCCTTCGAGGAAGGAAGGAAGGAGCGCGACTTAAAGCTCTGGGGAGAGATAATCTTAGACACAAGCACACCCCTCGGGCTCGAGATTGGTGGGAGGGAAGGAGGGAGGGAGGCAGCTGTGCTTGCGTCGAGAAGATCTTAACATTAACATCTAGTCGCTATGGACCCGAAGGAGATACCATCCCATAGCTCTTACCCTACTTCAATCGTAAGATCGTACAGTCAGTATCTTGACTACGAGACACGAGCGGAGAACTAAAGCCAGCAAACTAGGAAAGAGCGATCTCAAACCTGGATATCAACCCCATTTACCTCCACCTAGCTACCCAAATAATCGAGTGCTAACCTGTATGTAACATGCAGCATAGAAATCCCCAAAAGTAGACAAGCATCGAACGAAAGAAACGAATGAACGCGCTCCCGGGCCATGCCTTGCGACTAGAACCACTTACTTGGCCTGAGGAGGTAATCATCCATATCCAAAATAACCAACCAGGTAGACAGATGAACATCCACCACCTCCACCCATTCTCATATCTTCAAGCCCTTGAAGTCCACCAGTTCCCATAACATACTCTACAACCATAACCATGACCATCTAATCACCCCTCCATCCAACTCCCCCTCTCGCCCGTTCAATTCCCATCTCCCCACAACCCCCCAACCCATCCAAGAATCCCAAAAGGTAAAGAACGTCGCTACTCCAATTGTAAACTCCACACTCCTTCCTACATACCACCAAAGCCATACCTAATCCCATACTCAACCACAAATATTAATCGATTCAACATCACAGCACATGACAAATCATCAGACCCAGTCAGTAAATCCGTATTCCTGAAACTTGCCTGCTATCGTCAGACACAACATCTCCATTCAAACGAGAAAGAAGCAGCGACACAAAATAAGACAGAACTCTATAGTACGAAACAAAGGAGTTAGAGTTAGTAGCAGGGGGCGAAGAAAAAGACGAGTGCTTGTTTGCTAGACTGTGTCAAAGCCAAAATATGGTCTTGTAGTATATACCTCTACATATACTTATACATCTGTCGATAGAGATAGAGAATGTTCAAGATTCTACGATATGAGATGAGATGAGTTGAACTGAGATGAGATATCCCCCCGACCTATCTATCTCTCTTTTCTATCTCTCCCCAATGTTCGATACCAACCTCAAGGACCAGACAACGCTAGCAAGAACCCAGTCGGAGAGAGACACATGCACCGATAAATCATACAAGCAAAATCAATTCTTAACTAGAAAGCCTAATTATGTCCATTCTCCTCAAGAGACGTAATCTCATTCTCATAAAGCTTCATAAGCGCCGGTTTGAACGCCTCCATCTTGGCAAAATCCCCAATCTTCACACGCATATAGTCAAAAGCCACGATCGCAACCTGATCCCGCTCCCCATTATCCATAACGGGGATCTTCTGGTATCGTTGCGAGAAATGCGTCAACAGAATGCGTCGGGCATCCATTTCTCGGCCCACGTTCAGGGCATCGGAAGTGGTGCAGTGTTTCTTGGCGTACGCGTCGCTCTGGAGCTCGTCGTCAAAGGTCGCTTCGTGGATGAGGAGTGTGGCGTTTTGTCCGATTCGGATGAAGTCTCTGGAGGGTCGGCAGTCCCCTGAGTAGGCGACTTTGAAGCCGTTGGGGAAGTTGAATACTACTGCGGCGGCGCCGTTGCAATGTTGAACTGCGACGGCTTGAATAGATGCAATGCCAAGCTCTTTCACCTCCTCTGGAGCAAAGGTATGATTGAAACTGTGAAACCGTTGTTTGAGCTGAGAAATCATCATAGGCGAGACCCTCGAGTACCCAAAGTCTTCTACTTCGGAATATTCCCGCAGCCACTTGGTCATGCTATCATGAGCCACTACATGAAGCCGATTGTTTTTCGTCAGATCGTCTTTTGAAGTCTCTGCTGCCCATGCTTTGATCACTGCAGCAGTTCCCAAGTGGTGATCGGCGTGAAGATGGCTGATCCAAATGGCTTTCAGATCGCGTAATACGTCTGGGAGCTCATCGCCAAATACTCTCTTTAATTGTCCAAGTGTATTTTCACCGCAATCAAAAAGATACGTACCATACCCTGGAACGCGAAGTAGGGTTGCCGATACGTTTCTATACTTTGACGGTACGGCTGATCCCGTGCCCAAAGTCACGATTTCAGCGTCTTTGCTGGGAATATCTCTCTGTCTCTCGTCCAGTTTGTTTTGATAATCCTCCGCACTGACTTGTGTTTGGGCAATCTTTGCTAGATCCATAACCTCCTTGTTGTCACGAGCTTCTTCTACAACTTTGATAGTATTGAGAAGAGGCACCACTTGATCATCGCGTTCTTGGAAACGAGGTTCGATATCAAAGATCAAGCCTGGTCGTGCGGCCTCGAATGGTTTTGGGCCTTCCAATGGCTGCTCAACCGTGTTCTTGAATTTGGGTATTGGAAAACGATCCGAATCAATGAGACTCAATTTGATGGCAGAAGTTGCAGGTGACTCCATGGCGAGGTAGTTTGGACAACAATCCTTGGAAGATACAATATGCTTCATACCCTTTTGTTTTTTCATGAATTCCTGTAACCTGGTATCTTCTGTAACACCAGGTCCAAGAATCCAAATAGCAGCCTTGACTTCATTCATAACCTCATTCGATGACCATTCTGGCCGATCAATTAAGGGGCCAACGTAGGCTGTAGTTGGTAGCTCTATAATTGCAAACCCAGAACTTTCCCTGGTAGGACCCATAACCATCTCTGGAGTAACAACCTTTCCATCCTCCGTTGTAACACTTTTCCCCATGGTTAAATCTCTGAAAGATGGTCCTTTCTTTACACCCAGCTTTAGTGCTGCTGGTGCATCAAACTTGCCCCTCTGGGGATGACCTTTGATGATATAACAGACTGAACTAGCGGATGGTTGGGTTGGGGGAAGTTCATCAATCATAGCCCCGGGCCATGGATTTCGTACCAGGACGTCGACGTCAGACCACTCAACTCCGCTACCTGGCATTGGACCAGTATACTTTTCTATTTTCCCATCTTTCCTGATAAAGATGGTGGCAGGCAAAGCAACCTCAGAAAGCTTTTTTTGAACAAGAGCATCCATACGCCAGTCTGAGTCAAACATATCGTGGACGACAGATTGTCTTAACCGATCATACCGTTCATCTCTGTCGGCTCTTTCTTCTGCATTGAGTGTCGAGTCGGATGATGCTTCAGGAACGGTATCAGAGAATTCGTCGTGACTTCTTTTCCTGGCACTGCCATTTTCTGGGTCTATGACCATATCCCATACCTTTATGCAATCATCTTCATATGTAGGATCCCAATTCTTTCGTTGCGTCTCGTCTCTCGATCTGAATTCTGTGGCACGAAGTGGCATTCCCTTTCTGAAGATAAAACACCGAGCAGTGGCAAGAAGATGGTTTAAATTCTTTCCTCCATGAATACTCATCCAGGCCTTTTCCGCAGGCACCTTCTTCTTCTTCGCGTCTAGGTGAGCAATATTTTCGTTCCGCGCGCTCACAACATCCGCAACTGTAAGGATCATTCCAAGTAGGCCACCAACTGTATCCCATCCCACCACGCCAGTTAAGAATATATTCCCGACCTTCTGTAGACCTACCTTCCTCTGCACTGTAGCTCTTTGTGTGCCCTCTCCCACATTTCCGATGAGGTATCTCTTCTGGTCGAAGTGAAGAACGATCGAGGTACCAGGCGTATCTGCCGTAGGCGTGCTGAAGATTTGTAGCCAACACTTCATTGTGTTGGGATAAAGTGGTTTTGGCGGACTGGCACAAATCGTCCGAGTCAACTCCCCCGGTACCAACCTGGATATGCGATCGGCAATTCGTTCACGAAGCGATATGCTGGTACCGTTATGTGTTGTTCTTCTCAGCGCATTCGACCTGTGGTGTTGGAACTGGGATTTGGAGATGTAGAGAATTTGGGCTGGAAATTTGGACGAGGCTGAAGGTCCTGGGGTGAAGGAGATGTGCCTGCAGCTGTGGGGAGCTGGAAAGAATTTGACGTCAAGCCAATGTGTTCTCGAGTGCTGTCGGCGAGTCCCAATGAAGAAGGAAGAGTTGAGCATGGAGGGACTGGCGGGGCAAAAGAGGGGGGTGCAGGTGGGCTGCGAATAATTCCATAGTCGGGTAGTCCAGTCACCTCGAATTTTTGAAATATGAGTCGTCGCTTAAGTTTGTACCGAGGCGGCTGCAGCCCTGTGCCAGCACCAACCATACTGGAGAGTACCTGACCACCACACCGGAGAGAATCATCCGGGGACCCCGAAGATCGGCTAGACATGCGGAAACTCGTAGCGGGGGCCTTGCGTTGCGGCATGGTCACGACGCTCTACAGTAGGTACACATGGGAGAGGGGTAAAGTAGGTAAGGTAGGTATTGATAGAGTTTGATATGTCATGACATGACTCCATAATATCATTGCATCTTTGCTCTTCAGGTTCTTCTATCTTCCAGTGGACCCTGAAAATTTATAAGATGAGACCAAGCCATCCGAAGCCACGGCAACACCATGAAGTTGAGAAAATTCTTTCACTATTCCTACAAATCTTTCTCACACCACCAGTCACCCTTCTTCTCCAAGATAACAAAAGATTCGCCATATGACCTGGTCTGAAGCACGGAAATCATGAAATAAACACTAGAAAATGAATGTGTCGACCCGAGCTACAACTTTTCATGCGTTTCAGAAAAAGATAATTCTTGCTGGTTTCCTTTAATTTTGAGAAAAAGAGAAGGAAAAAGGTCCTTTGCCCCCTCCATGCCACCGCTAACATCGCCCGATGTATAGTATACTCAGGCCCAAAGCACCCACCAGGCTCCCGTCAACACCAACACCAGTAAAAGAACACATTAATCCCGCCCATATGCATTGCCCCAACAACAGGTGATCGATCCAATAGCAGAGGAATAAATGCATTGTTCCCCCAATTCCGTAACGCCATCATTACCATGCATCGTGTCCAACTTGGCCCCTTAGTTACGATAGCCATTATGTCTTGGGTTTACAGCGCTTGAAGCGGCTTGGTCTTCCGCTGCCTGCTGTCTCTGTATCCGAATCTTTGTAGCCTCTGTACCGTCATCTGGTGTTGCCGCTTCTTTGAACCAAGGGTGCTGGAGAGCTTGTTTTGCCGTAATGCGTGATTGCGGGTCGTACACGAAGATTTTTCGCAATAAGTCTAGGAAGTTCTTGCAAAATTTGTTGTTTTCCGGGATGATTTCCTATCCCAATGTCAGTGTTCATGGCCAGAACTTTGAGAAGATACCAACTCACATCTAAGCGCTTCATAGCTTTCACGAAGCGTCTCGAAGCCCGCGAGGTCTCTGGCTGGGGGTAGTCGAGTTTCAACCGCTTGAAGAACCTAGGGTCTATGTTAGTATGTTTTTGTGGTTTGCTTGCGCTGAGTGAGGCAGACTTTGAGGCTTGATTTCCACCACTACGTTTTGCCAGGCTATTGACTTGTTGGATAAGGTGGGTGTCCAACTTGGATCCGCAAACGGCTTCCATCATGGCAAGATGTTCCAGGTTGTCGTGAGTTTGGAACAACGCATCACCCGTGAAGAACTCGACAAGAATACAACCAATACTCCAGATATCACAGGGAAAGGACCACCCCAGCCCGAGGATGATTTCTGGAGCACGATAATGCCGGGTAGAAACAACGGAAGAGTGATATTCATCTTGGAAAGTTGCTGATCCAAAATCGATGAGTCGAATCTCCGTGTCAAGCAGGACTTTGCGTTGAGCAGCTTGTCGATTTTGTGTAGTTGAAGATGAAGGGATTCTACGGCTGTATGTAAAAGCCTGGTAAGCGTTGTCACAAAGCAGGATGTTCTCAGGTTTCAAGTCTGTGTGGATGAGGTTCAGGTCGTGTAAGACTGATATCATGTTAGTAGAGCTTTGGAGGTGACTATTGGATTTACTCACAAGCGACGCTGGTAAACAGCTGCCTTGCAAAACTTTGTATCTGGCTGTTTGGGAAAGGAACAAAGGCGTTGCCCTTCAGAAAATCAAACACACTCTGGCCGAGCAAATCCATGACTATGCATATATGCCCTCGATAATCGAAACAGTCTCTGTAGTGTATACACCTGTTTCGGTTCTCAGCATCATTCGCTTTGAGGGTTGACAGAACCCGGAGTTCAATTCTCGATGCGTCTCTGTATTTCTGCACAGATCGAATGATTTTGATGGCGACAAGTTTGTTCCTCTTCCGATCTCTGGCCTGCACTACTTTGCCAAACGTGCCCTGCCCAAGAAGCTTTGTAACTTGGTCTGGCCAGTCGTTAGTGGGAACCTGGTTTGATTCTTCAGAGTTACTTACATCGATCAGTCAAATCACTGTCTGGTACCACAATGTAATGCCCGTCGTCGTCGTCAACTTTGCTATGTTTGGTGTATGAATTCTATCTAACAGTGAGTGGTTTTCTATACAAGCGCGTGATATAGACTTACATCTGATACAACCTTGACCTGTATATCTGCTGCCTTGATCGGGGGTCGTGGAGGGGGCTTGTAATTTGTGTACGCGTCCCCATTTGCTTCTTGTTCTCGTCGTTTCGCTTCATTGGCAATTTGCAGCCGGGTGTTTGTTCGCTTTCTCTTATGCCCAGGCTGGACTTCCGGAGCATCGTAGCCATTTTGGCCATTTGATGAATGGGATCCCAAGGAGGTGGCGGCCGTTGTATGTATTGCCGATGTGGTCCGGTCAGTTGAGACGGAGGATCCAGAAGCTGAGTGTTTATAGTCGGGAGTTTCGTCTACCGAGTTGGAATGGCCATTCTGATAAATGGGATCATATGCTGTCCCGACGTCATCGCGTTTCCTCTTCTTCACGGGTTGTCGATTGCCGTCTAAGGCTGCTGAGCGCCCGGACAGTGTATTTGAAGTCAGCGCTTTCGAGGTGGGCTCTGGTGTTGGCGAATCGTCGATGACAATGACCTCCTCGGGGAGGCCATTCGCATAAAAATTCTTCCAATCGGGCTTCCGGGGCTCTCGAGACCGCTGTCGCTTCTTGATATTTGTTTTGGTGGTGGAAGTGGACGGTTGAGGCATGGCTTCCGATTTCAAGGTTGGTCTCGTAGGTATGGGTGCCGCGTTCCTGCTTGTACTTGTGCGTGAGGGGTCGGTTGCAATGGTGGTAGNGGCTTCCGATTTCAAGGTTGGTCTCGTAGGTATGGGTGCCGCGTTCCTGCTTGTACTTGTGCGTGAGGGGTCGGTTGCAATGGTGGTAGTCGACGAGGTGTCGTTACTCGATGATGCAGACGGAAGTGTGTAAGGCGCTCCGAGCCGGCTGCCGCCGTTGGAGTGGTTGTTGTTCGCTCTATAGGCCGGAGTGGTTTGATAGTTTTGGTGATGGGGATATCCGTAGCTGGGATGATGTGGAGGAAGGGTCGAGGGAGTCGACATTGAGTGATGTGCGGGCAGTGAAGGCGGAGGAAGTGGCAGTTGCAGATGCCGTTGCCGTTGTAGTTGGTTTCGCACCTAGGTGCAGGTGGTGTGGGCTCAGAGGACGTCGAGCGGCAGAATTCGCTCTGGAAGTCGCCCGGCAGCGTTTGGTCACAGTGAAGCCGTCTTCAGCATTGAAGCTGACGATGAAGTCTCGGGATAGGAGTGATTTGGAGTCTGCTGGGTTGGGTCTGGGTCTGGCTGGAACTGCGCCGGCCAATGTTTGGATGTGTATGTGTGAGGTGTTTTTTCTCCTCCCGTGTCGTTGACGGGCGCGTTACTGGGGGGGTCGTGGGAAGGGCACTCGACCGAAGATATCAATATCCGCTCTCGGGGCACGACACAGATTGTCGGAGGGCTGTTGGGGGGATCTGATGCTGGATCTGGTCTCGATGGGAGACAGAAACAAAAAATACTGGCAGCGCCGTTGATGGGTGTAGGTGAGTGAGGTGGTGGTGGTCGTCGTCCTAATCCACGGTGGGCTTGGGTTTGGCCTTGGTGAATGTTGAGAGGCGCACTTTTCAGGACGTTCCAAGTTGCAGGTGGCAGCAAGAATGGTCCTCCTTCGCCACGCAGTGAGAGAGCGCTGAGCCACTACTGGACCTGAGCCCGCCCAGCTAGAGCCCTCACGACGCCCGCGGTAGGCGAGGGCACTCAGGGTACTCTACGCCCACTGCACCAGTCCTGGTGAGTCCACAGGGTGTCGGCTAAACTCTGCCACCCTGAATAAAACTCCGGTGCGCGCACGTTGATGCTGATCAGTGATGATGATTGATCCGTGATGATTCGGAGTCTGAAATGCTCCTGTAGCTTTAACTCTACTTTACGAGTATTTCCGTAGTCATTTTCGGATTTCAGATAGCGACTTGTCATCTGCTTCAAATTGTCTCAACTTTTCTACCGTACGTGATTGCAGCTTTCTACTCGCGTTGCCTCCATACGCCTTTCGCTTCAGTACAGGTACCTTACTACTGTAGGTAGGTAGGTAAGTCTTATATAAGCCCACGCCTGCCTCGATGAGGTAGGTCCCCAACCTAGTTTGGTGGTCGCTACAGTAGGGTAGACTCCAGCAGATTAATCTGCTATCATAGTATCTACGTAATCACTTTCTTCAAGATTCAGATGGGGCATTAAAGTTCAGTTTATCATTTCTTGGTGGAAATCTAGGTGGGAATCTTCCCGAGGTCACCTGCATGTTCCATCACTGAAGTCCCGTGACCTCGACCCCTGCCCAGGGCATCTCCAGATTCATGTTCTTGGTTGTTCCTTGGAACGCTACGCTTGGTTGATACAAAGCTGTCATTGTACTCTATATCTTCTCACAGCCCTCAGGTTCACAACAACCTCATTCAAGATGTCTTTCGAATCCGTTTCCGAGCGTCTCACAGCTCTACAAAACACAAATGCGCAATTGAAAGAACTCATCGAGCGACTCGCCACCCTGAAGTTTCAGCCCGGATCCGTACCTTTGGACAATGACGATGATAATGTGATGGCCGAGTTGACTGCCGATATCCACCAGACTCTGAAGGAACAAGAAGAGGATTTTGAAGTTTTGCAGGAGGATGTATTGGACTTGAATCCTGGCAGAGCGGGGAGCGAGCTGGAACTGCAGAAAGAGGGCTTAGATAGTGCCGTGAAGAGAGCAATCAAGGAATTGAAAACGTAGGTGTTCTTTTATACAATAACAGTCGAGGGCGAGGGAAATAGAATCATGCTGATGACCTTACAGGTGTCAATCTGCATTTCGAAGGGCGTTGTTGACTGCCAGGCGCACATTACAGCAAGCCCAGCGTGAAGAAAGACGACTCCTTCTACTTTCTTATACCACAGAAGCCTCTCCCTCAGATTCAGCACCAACACAAGGTCAGAGAAGAGCCAACAAAACACCAGATCCCTTGAGTCAGGATAAAGAGGTTGCTGCCAGCAGTGATGTCACAGCTGCCCTACGAAGAACCCACGATATGATGGCATCCGAACTCTCTCGCTCTCAATTCGCCCACGATACACTGAAAGAATCCACCGCTGCATTGGCACAACTTGGGGAATCATATTCAACCTTGGACACCTTACTCTCGAGCTCCAAAAATCTTCTAGGTACACTCTTGCGCAGCCAAAAGAGCGATACCTGGTATTTGGAAACGGCATTTTATGTCCTAGTAGCTACGATCGGCTGGCTACTTTGGAGAAGACTTCTTTACGGACCAACATGGTGGCTTGTTTGGTTTCCTATGAAGATCTTTTTCCGCAGTTTAACTGGCGTTTTGACAGGAGTTGGGTTAATTGGAGGATCTGCGAGCGTCTCCAGTCTCACGACTGCTACATCGAGTACAATTGCTACCACCGTAACGACTAGTCCCACCACTACATGGGGAAAGCTCTCAGCGCCTCTTGGGGCAACTGGACCGCCAATGGTGCATGTTGGCGGGGGAGGAAGAGGAGCGCCAATGCACCGTCCTAGCAGTCCCCCAAATCCGAACAGAGTGTATTCTGAGCAGGTGGAGAAGGTGATTGATGATAGTAAAAAGGAAACGGAAGCGAAAGAGGGACAGGGAGAGGAAGGAGATGCGGGACCAAGTACTGAAGAGGAGCCACGGAATCCAAAGAAGAGAATGTGGGAGGAAGAGGTTCCTCCACCTCAAGAACCAGAGCCGGAACCAGCACCGGAACCGAGTGCTGAAGAAGAGCCAAGGAATCCAAAGAAAAGAATGTGGGAGGAGGACAAGGAGACTGAGAAAGAGGCGACGAGAAATAAAGATGAATTGTAGTTGCTAAACCAAATATCATACTTCTACAAATAACATACTTACATCCTAAGTCTCGTCTTACTTTTGTTCTAGTAGATAAGAAAAGTAGTAGGGAAAAACCACTTTGTTTTAACTTACCTACCGAATTACTTACAAAAGTTTAACCTAGATAGACTACTAGATAACATGAACATTAAGTAAGTAGATAATCCACTATTCTAAGATAATCTTAAATTTCTCCATCAATTACGATTACCCGACTCGAGATAGGAACATAAATGTAAATATGAATAATAAAGAGACTGTTTTTTATTTCATCTCATCTTAAGTTCCTACGTACTCAAGTACCTACTACTTTCCTCCTTCTACTACTCGAGAACTTTATAAACAAACTACCTCGAAAATCAAGTTTAAGAATCTCTCGCTACGTAAACACAGAAATTCGCCACCACCATTCTATAGGACATCCCTCGCCCCACATCCTCCACTCCATCCTTGCCCCACTCCACCCACACTTAGTCACACACACCACAAACCCACATTTCCCATTTCCCACACACCAACCGTTTCACTCCCACCCACAAAGATATTCACAAATAAGCTTCTTGCATCCAACCATAAAAAAAACGATCAGGTGCTATGGTCTAGTGGTATGATTCTCGCTTAGGGCTAACTCTATGTTACAACTTGCGAGAGGTCCCCGATTCGATCTCGGGTAGCGCCCGTTTTTTTTTTTTTTTTCTAT